GGGGAAAGGGTTTTAAAAGTAGGCCTCCTTGAAGCGTTTACGGTGTTAGCACCAACATACAACATATTCTCATACCTCCCAGGTTGGTGCGAACGCGACAAAAACCTGGCTGAAATACTCAGCCTGGTCCGCATCAGCCGATCAGTGTCCAGGGGCGGTGGCTCTGTGGCCGGCTCGTCCGCTTTTTGCGCAGGAGAACTGGTACCTAAAGTTTCAAAATAGCGACCAACCATCTCCTCGTCCTCCCCTCCCTCGGGCTTGTTCTCGTCATAACCAAATGGCTTGGTGATATCCTCCGACGGACTAATCACCTCGTCTTCATCGTCTTCACTAGAAGCTTTGAATTCGAGAACGACATTACAAAGTCAGTTCCCCTGAAGTAAAACTGCAGACACTTGTCAACATTTTGGCAAGTTGTATGATTAAGTAAGGGGATCACAAACGCCTTGGGGAAAGAAAACAAGCCGAGTTGCAGCCGAGAGCTTTGCGTGTAAGTCGCATATTCTCATTTTGTCCTGACAATCACAAGAACAAATTCAAAGGATGCTTGAACTTGGGCGACATGTTTGGGGACAAAATCTTGTCGAAAGGATAAAGATTTTCATAATCGTTCTCCATCCTACACGAAACTAAATCGCCAATAAGCCCTTAAAAAAGTTTAGCAAATATAACTGTTTCAAACTAGTGACTATTGTCTGAGCGCTCAACAGAGTACTACTTGATCTGAAACTTGCTGGACAACAGAAAAGTTCTTCTTTTAAAATCTTACGAGAATTGATTTCCTTTTCTTCCACTTTACCTTTATCTTTGCCCTAAAAACACAAAATCAAAGTAAAAATTCAATTAAATCTACCCTGCTGCAAAATGACATATCTATAAGGCAACAAAATCTTAGCGAAGCCGGTGTAATTCAAGAACGTAACGTCAGAGTCTTAAGGAGCCAATGCGAAAGCGAATTCAAAAGAAGCAAACCACCTGAGGAGTGGGAAGGCGGGAATGAACATGTAGCAATTAGCTTTATCTTTGAATCTGATTGGTTGAGAGGATAGCGCCAGTTTTCTCGATCAATCACAGAGGGGCGCAAAGAAACCAAATGAATTTCAGATAAATTTCAACACATAATCGAAAATCGCACTGCGCAAGTAATAGTTGAGAATCGTTGAAAAAGCTATTAATCAAGAGTTTGGCTCGTACCTCTGGTTCTTCGCCTTTGGGATCTTCTGCTGTTACAGACAATCTCTTTGGCCGCTCGGCGACTGACAACTGGAAAGCTCTGATGAAAGACGGAGAGAGAGATTGGAGCCAGAACTACTCAAATTGACAAATAAAGTTCATCAGATGCCACTAATATGCCAAATGGACAGAACCGTTAACTGCGCAACCAATCAGAAAGAAAAGCAAGACGGAAAAAAATTGTAACGTTTTGAATCAATCCAACTATAAAATTCGATTTCTGAAATTGTACTTCCGGACTGGGGCAAATCAGCCGAAGTAACACGGGAACCTGGGATAAGGTAGTGAGGTCATTTTAAGATAAGTACTTGACGATTTTCATACCTCCTCACAATTTTATTTCATCTTGCCCTTTTACTCACTGTACACAGTTTAGGGTAAAATTCATAAATTCAAGCGAGCAGGCTTACCGCATAGTAAACCAACCACACCCAAATGACGTAACCACTCTTTCCCGGGACACTAGTTTACTTAAGCGGTTTTACAGACAGATGGGAGGATTAAAATTCGTTTCGAGACGTTGAAAACAAGCAAAGAGAATTAATACCAAATCTCGTTTTAATGAAATCTCATCAGGAATTTATGAGCATTTAAGGAAGAAATGAAATGATTTGCTACAAGATTTATATCGACTACTTTTAAATTATTAATTCCAAGCAAATAAAGGAACACGACAGAAAAATTCAAAATTATTTCACGATTTGAAATATCTTCTTAGCAGTCGGTTAAATGGTAACTCATTTGATGCAAGAAAGGAGACTGGTTTACTGTTTAAAAATATGCGAACCAACTTTTATCATTAGTCAAGGAAGTTCATATAGAAATGAATTTGACAATAATCAGCACTTACTTAATGTTGTGTCTGTTTTTGATGAAATCAAGCTTAAACTGTTATTAATCCATGTTTAGGAAACCATTTGTTAGCATTTGTTTTTCTGCGGAAGTCTAAAGTACCCTAAGTAATTAGACGTAAGTAAAACAATGACATTTAATAACGATATAGTGAGATGTAATTTGATTTTTTTCAGTTACCTGAGGAAAGTTATAACCCGAGATGGAAGGAGGTCTAACGAAGGAGACCTGTTAAGCGGAACTGGTTTGTCGTTAACCAGTTTTACAGGTTTGTCCTGATCATCCGGATCTTCCCGCAGTTTCTGGACTTGTTGAGTGATATTGGGACAAGACTGGTGATGATTTAACTGAAGAGCTTCGTAATGTTGCACAAATTCTTGGACCCGCGGGGTACTGGGTCAAGGGAGTGTCAAAAGGAAGACGGTTCGTGTTAGTTACGTTACACATTAAACAATAAAAAAGGATGGGACAGCAGGGAAAGTTTGCTGCGTGAAAAAAGGGTTAGAAATTAGGCTTTACAAGAAAATGTTAGAGAACTGTGGATAAGAAGTCAAAATGGCGACTCTCGCTGCCAATTCAGTCTGGTCCGAAATTGTCTTGGGGGCTCTGGCGACCTGGCCTAGATCGCTTCACAAGGGTGCTGCTTGGTTAGTTAAGAGATACGCTCTTACTTTTTCAAAATTTACCATTTCTACTTTGAATACTAAATTTATAATTTAACCACAAAAAGATTCTAGTACCCTGATGAAGAAGCGGCAAAAGACAAGATCATTAGTAGTTGTTTTCTTGGTGAAGATTGGTAAAACTCAAAATGGCATTCCTTTTCTTGTTTATTAATAACCCTAAATGTTTACTTATGTTGGAGTTTAGGTTTACGATGGTACAGTTATTTTTAGAGGGGTTTTCGTTGTCACTTCTGACACATTCAGATTCTATCTTGTCACTTATTGAACGGTTATTTTTTTTTAAAAAAAAAGTCTCCTCTCCAAGCATTTTAATATTAGGTTCAAGCTTGGTTTACTACTTTTTTTTAACACGATTCTACCTAACTACTTCATTTGGGTTTGACGACGTTAAATTTTTGTCGCGTTCAACGTACTCCAAAATTACAATGACGGTCTTCCATTGTCACAGAAGTCAAAATATTTAGAATATAATAATCCGAATCCAGAGTTGGCTCCAGAGTTAGCTAAACACCAGGAGGGAAAATGCATACAATGGGACTTGGGATCCCTGGTGGGTCGTTCTAATATCCACAAGCATATCTTTGGGTAAGTCCTAAGGCGCTCCTTGTTCTAGCACCATTGCATTCTAGGGCCACTTAGCCGTTTTGAGGGAATAATCACGATAATCACGATATATTTCTGACCTTGCAACTTCGCTGTCGAAGTCATCCTGGCTAGGGGGTAGGTAGATGATAACTTGATTCGCGTCCCCTACATCAAGCTCCTCGGCTTCTTCAAATTTCAGTTCTCCAGTTTCGGACACTTCTACGCTGCTTCTTCGAACACGAGCCATCGGCATTATATCACTACCACGTGACACGGTGACACCAGGCGGAGCGGCTTCCTGCTCGGCGGGAAAAGTAAAAGTAAGCTCTGGATAGCGGGAAAAGTATCAATAAACTATGCATGGCGGGAAAAATAACAGTAAGCTCTGCATGGCGGGAAAAGTATTAGTGAACTTAGCAAGGCGGGAACAATGAACTCTGCATGGCGAGAAAAGTAACCCTGTACTCTGAATGGTGAGAAAACTAACAATACCCCTTTGCTTGACGAGAAAAGTAACCGTGTGCTCTGAATGATGGGAAAACTAACAATGCCCCCTTGCTTGACGGGAAAAGTAACCGTGTGCTCTGAATGGCGGGAAAACTAACAATGCCGCCTTGCTTGACGGGAAAAGTAACCATGTGCTCTGAATGGCGGGAAAACTAACAATGCCGCCTTGCTTGACGGGAAAAGTAACCGTGTGCTCTGAATGGCGGGAAAACTAACAATGCCCCCTTGCTCGACGGGAAAAGTAACCGTGTGCTCTGAATGGTGGAAAGGTTACCAATGAACTCTGCGTAGCGGAAAAAGTAATAGATAAAAAGAAGTAACAGTGACCACTGAGCATTTGGAGCATCCTTTCAGCCAATGTTTGTTCTCGTCACGCAACAAGCTTTCAAAGGAAGCAGAGAGCAAGTAACCGCGGCGTTTACAACTCAGAGTAATGTTGATTGGTTAAGTGTCAGTGGAAAAATTTGAGACTGCATCAGTTACCAACCTCGGTATGATTCTTCTCCTCTTCGGGCAAATTCTCCAGCGCTGCTCGGCCGTCTGACGGGAACAGGTCATCATCTTCCTGTTAAAAAAAAAGTGAGCATAATTTACACATTAACGTCTGCTTTTATGTCTTCCAGCGTCACCTCCTGCTATAGAAGTACGAGACTTAAATCTTTATCATGTACTGTCTTCGACGCTACGAAATCTAATTTACATAAATTAAAAAAAAAAAACATCAAAATAAACGTTTAAGTGCGTCTAAAGTCGGTCGAATTATAAAAGAAAAATTGGAATAAAGTGTGCGTAGAAACCATTAGAGCAAACTAGATTACAGCAAAGAAAACAACAACAACAACAACAACAACAACAACAAAAATGTTTGCGTGGAAGGAGAAGGGAAGGGGAAAAAACACCACTAGCTTCGAAAAAATGTTCCACACACCCTGTCCTCCGAGAACACATTTCATCTGTTTGATTGAACTGATTTAAAAATTGCCAATTTATGCAAGTATCCTAAGGATTTTTGTGCAAGACGGTGGTTTAAATGAGATTTTGAAGGCTGGGTCCTAATTTAGAAAGTATTTCTTAACAGCCTCAACCAGAAGTTAAATCATCTTACCCCATAAGTAAGTGAGCAACGTCTCTCGAGAGGCTGCAAATAAACAAAACGACAGATTAAAATCTTAAAGCAACTAAATCGACGAAGAGAATGTTTCCATCATTGCCTCTGTGGCGTTATCAACATCATCATTATTCCTAGTAGCATTGTTATTGTTAACATTATTATTGTCATCATTACCAATATCATTATCATTATTAATACCACCATAATCGCTAATATTATTATAATCATTGCTATCATTATTATTAAAATTATCATCATCATCATAACTGCCATTATTTTTTATCACCAATATCATTATCGTTATTTATTATTAACATTACAATAATTACTATTATTACACGATTCGGGCAGTCAGAGGGCCAATAACTAAAATCAACCAATCAAAATGCTCTATTGCCGGTCAACATTCTCTCAGTATTGGACCGGGCACTGTCCCGAATGGTCCCGAATGATACCGCACTTGTGTCCCTTTGAACTTCAGTCGTATAATAAATCTCTTATTAACCAAGCTTGCTCGGGACCGTACTGGAAGAATATCGGCCCTCGGTCTTTTTTGTACGGACCGAGCGCAGCGAGGTCCGTACTGTCAAGACCTCGGGCCGATATTCTCCCAGTACGGCCCTCGCGCTCGGTTAATAAGATATATTATTACTGTTAATATCATCATTATCATAACAGCTGGCATTTTTATCAACTGATGTTACATACGCTGCTTGCCAACGCTCTCATTTGCTCCTGGAGAGAGATTGGTTCTATTTTAAATCTTTTCTCGCCATCTGAAAGGAAAAAAAAATTCAGTCAAAACGAAAATGCACGATATTTCATTTTACAGAATTGCGACCATTTCGCGCTGAAGAGATCAACACACAAACACTATGCAAATATTTTTTTCTTTGAATTGATAATTTTTTCTACTGACATTGGTATTGTTTAAATCCTAGGGATGTTTATCACGGTCTCAACAAAAAATGGATGATGGCTCATGAAATTATTAGGCAACTTGCAAGATTACTTTAGATAGTAGTATTCTGTTCTCACCTGTTGGATCCAGCAATAAAGGAATCGGTTTTATTTTGCCATTGTCAGCAGCAATGTGAAAACCCCCATTTTGGACTCTCTTTTGTAAAGAAAAAGAGGTTTCAAGATAAACAAAAGATCAGCTTTGATAAAGTTAAGTTTAATCGTTATTATTTAAGTGGCATACAAGCTTTTCAAAAAAAAATCCTAGAGAATAACACTACAAAAATGTAAAGGCAGACATAATCACCAACCGATCAGGATCTAACGAAATTTAGAAAAAAAAAAATCAAGATAAAAATAAAAAAAATTAGAACACACAAGATGAACACAACAGACCAATCACCTGAAAAGAGGGGAATAACAAACAACCCACGAAAAGGCGCAGGAGGCCTTGCACCCTGCGTCGAGCGCGGGAAACCTTGCCACCCTGCGTCGAGAGCTGGAAGTCTTGCACTCCGCATCGAGTGCGGGAAACCTTGCACCCTACGTCAGGCGCGGGAAACCTTGCACCCTACGTCAGGCGCGGGAAACCTTGCACCCTACGTCGAGCGCAAGAAGACACGCATTCGGCGAATTCCAGCCGCGGGAAAGCATGCAGCCACCGACAAGCTAGAAATGTGTGAGTCGTTGTTATCCAACTGCTATCATACCAAGATCTAACATTAGGGAGGGATGGGTGAGCAACTTACCTGAGCCCATCGCCCCCCGGGTTGAACTACTGTTCCTGTGTTATTCTCTTCCTGAGAAATCATCGTTTTCTCGTTTCCTTCGGCAACGAGCTACAAGAAACGTACAATGTCTCGGTTTAGTTCGCAAAAGTAGACTAACTGCTCAGAATTTCTAGTAAAACTGATTAGTCCTCGAAGACAAAAAGAGGTTGAAGCAAATTTCTCCAAATCATTTTGGACGAAAAGTGCTGATATCTCTTGGGAGGAAACTGACATCAAAGTAACTAACCTGCTTTTTGGCCCACGCAGGCAGTTGCCCCACGCTAAAACGGTAATCTTTAACTGGAGGACTGGGATCTAGCATGTCAAAATTCAAAATCAGGTCAGAAACGAAATCAAAACATTTAACAGACACAAATCCAAATTTTACAGAAATCATTGCACTTTGAAACTACCACTCTTATTCGGATCGATACTTAATAGTACGCCGTAAATTCGGTTAGCTTTCAGCTCGACAAGTTAATGACGGCAAAGCTTGAAACAATCATCATACATAGAAATCTAATTGGTACTGTACAACATGACACAATTAATCTTTCAAAACAGGTTTCTTTTTTTTTCTTAGCCCTTTACCTCCCATGAGTGACCGAGAGAGAATTTCTCCTTACAATATCGATATAATATCAGCAGACAAGCGATGAGAATAAAGAAAAATATCCATCAGGGGATTATTAGTTGACTCAATACCAAATTCTCCAAACTAACATCAGAAGAATTGTATGGCAGACAGTAAGGAGAATTAATTACGAGATCTTGGGAATGAAGGGATAACGCAATGATAAAAGTATGTCACGCCACGCGCAGCGGTGTTTCTCATTTTACCCACATCACGGAATAAATGGCAAGTAGCTTAACCAATCAGATTGCAGCAATTTATGTCTACCTTTCATTGGTCTGCTGAACGCTGAAGGATCAGCTGGTACAAAGTCCCCCTCCTCAGCTGTTTCGATTATCGATGGATGAGCCATTTGGTAAGTCTCCCGTCTGTGGAAAAACAACACGAGAAAAACATGTGAATGTCCTCCTCTTAGTAAATAGTCCATTTTACAGTTGCGTGCTTGGTTGCCAAGCCTTTGAACAGGAGTGAGGCAAAGGGTGACCCACGTTATGATAAAAAAGTTGCTACCTTTCAAATGTAAATTACTTTGTGATCAAGATAACAAGATACTGGTCTCTATCCCAACAAGGTCAGCTTCAACAACGAAGTACTGACACAACTGTAAAATGGCATAATACGTGCTATACAAGCAATCAGTTAAAAACTAGTTTGCGTAAGGTCCACAAACATAACTTTTTCCTTTAAACCAAAATCATACTTGACATGGTATACCTGATGGGAGTGCCAAACTCAATTTTGTTCTCTGGTTCTTCCCCAAGTTTCTCCACCATATTCTGAGGAGAAAACAAAAGACACACACATTCGCCAACCATACGTCCATTAAAAGGATCAGATCAGGTTACCTACGGCATACATACAATTCTATCATGAAAAAATACATTTGTCCATTGGTGAAGAAACTCAGTCTAAGTATTTCTCTGGGACAACGATGTGAAGTTTGATGAGGACTGAACTTAACATAAAAAACTGAAAATAGCCCACTTGTTTTTGTAATTTAAACGGCAAAAATCTATGAGTTCCCAGAAAAAAAAATTTGATTCTTCAATATAACAACTTCAGGAAACTTTGTGGGTATCACAAAAACAATTTACAGAGAAAAGTACTTGAGTTACCTGCGTGTAGGTGGATGGTATTTTCCACACAAAGATGCACCTATCATAAAAAAAAAAACAGTTGCAAGAAAAGCAATTCCAAAAATATATATTATCCTCATTAAATTGAAGAAGACAAAACAAAGACTATATATATAAACCACCCAGAGAAGCCTCAACCATTTTCAAGTCGAATTCCATAGTTGTGCCGTGAGAGGCACGATTACTTACCCATCTCCTCCAACAGAAATGAGATTCTTGCAGTCAACAGAAAATTTAAGGCCAGTCACAACCTCTGAGAAGCCAATAAGAGAATCTGCAGTTACTGGCAAGCTTAACGATTGCTGACCATACGAAAGCAAGAGGGAATGAACTTGCTTGAGGACCACTTCACACCTTGATATTCACGATTCCTTTGGGTTGCGTTATATTCATCAAAGGGCAACCATTCAAGAAATCTTTCGAGTTTTCCTTTTCAAATAACTACGCCATCAAGAAATCATTGCACGGCACGCGCATTCAACCACTCAAATATCAACTATTGCACGTTTTTCCTTGATATCAGTTACTGTCCAAAGCTGCGGGTTTTATTGAGTCCGTGCTTGTTCACTATGATTTCTGGGCTCTTTCCAAGTGTAGAAGACACAGTTGACGTAAAACAATAGAGAACAAATCGACAAAAGAACGAGGTAAACAATGAAAAGAATACATCAACGAGGCAGCGTTCCCTTTTGACGTGTTCTGTGTCTTCTACACCAAGAAGGAGCCGATTTCTGTTGCGAAACAATCCTACTCTAATTTCAAGGCTTTACTTGACTTACCCGAATGACCAGACATACTCGCTACACATTCACCAGACTCGAACTCAGTCAAACACACACTCTTATCTGAACAGCTGGTGGCAGCGTACGTCCCTGAAGAGTCCAAAGTTATCTATGAAGAGAAACAAACTACTCAACGACGTTTATCAGCCTGGCAAAGAAAAAAACAGTCTATCATTGTTGATCTGTGCTGCTCGTCTTTCGTGTCCTTAACCCGTTCCACCCTAACATGTGTACACATTCTCCATACTCTACACATTTCCTTAGGTGCTGACAAGGAGAATTTGTTTTAAAATCAAGAGCTTCTTTGGTAAGTGATAATTAACAATTATTCCACGAGCGAGCGTTGGATATGAGATGATAGATAGCCAACGAAGCGCGTAGCGCCGAGTTGGCTATAATCATCTCATATCCAACAAACGCGAGTGGAATACTTGTTTTATTAAAAAAACGCCCCCAAGCTATTAGACAAATCTTCTCGACTTTATTTTGTGAGAAGAAACCGGATTTAACAATGTACAGAAATTAGATTATGGTATATTGGCTCATATACCATAATGGCTGAGCCAATAAAAAGTCTTGAATTGCATTATCCAATGATCCAGTTTTTAACAATTTGCTTTATTCAATTGACCTGAAGCAGGGATGATGTTGCAAGGAGAAATTACTGGCCAGTCCCCCAGGGGTCAAAGAGTTCACCTTTCTTGTTATTTTTCGGCTTATGGTTACTTGTTTTATACATTTTTTCCCCCAAACAAACTTGTGTTTCGCTCTTTTCTTCGCTTTGAAGGTGTCTTACGAACTGAGCAAGGATAACATGTCTTCCATCTGCAAACCGCGTTTAAAGTTCTCCAATTTTGAACATTCGAGTTTTTCTTTTTTTCAGTTCGCATTCTTCTCCATCTTTCAAATAACTTTACTCCTAGTAAAATATCTTTATCCACAATCACATTCCATGAGATTTTTCCGAAGCACTTACCCTGACCAGCGTTCCGTCATCACTAGGAGTGCCTTTGTAATTTCTTGTCTGCTTGCCACTATTCACATCATACACTCTTAAAACAGAACGGAATTGATGATACAAAATCAAATTCAATGGTAAAAGAATTGGAAAATCATATTGCCTCTTTTGTCATGATCTGAAATAAAACAGGTCCAAAGTGCGTACCTCACATTTCTGTCCTGGCAAGCCGTGGCAGCATATTTCCTAAAAGTAAAGCAGGAATGGTTCTTTTACATTGTTTCTCGTAAATCTTGTCTACTTAGTATTTTCGTTTTCAAATAAACCAGACTCACCCCGATGGATCAATGTCCATGTCGTAAAATGTTGTTTTACCAACATGATTCGTTGTTCGAACAAACTGAAACTCTGGATTCTACAAAGAAATAAGAACGAAGACAGTTGCTTAGCCAGCTTGACCTAAAAGGATTACTTCGAAGCTGAACTTAGTTCCGCAAAAATCAATTTAACCCGGAAAATGCCAACTGTAATTAAAGTGACACAAAATTCAAATTTGAGACTGACACAGTACTAGTTCAAACTGAAGAATATTTTGTTTACTGAAGAGGGGAGAAAATCCGTAAGCAGCAAGAGAATCTGACTTCAAAATGACAGCCCCCATATTTCAATTACAAACTGGAAAATTAGAAGGAAAAGTAAAGTAAATAAGGAAATAGAACACGTCACTTGTTTCTGCTTATCAATACANAAGTCAAGCGTATAACGTATAACGTTATACGCTTGATAATATAACGTATAACGTTATACGCTTATACGTATAAGCGTATAACGGACGGACGCAAGCGGAGACTCCACACCAAAGAAAATATGGTAATCCAGCAAGTCAAGCGTATAAGCTTGTGACGCAATGGCTGGGCCATTCGTCAGAGCAGGCATGTGTTGTAAGAGTCATGCATTTATGATCCCTGCAGCACGTCTCTAAGTCTACAAAAACTGACGCCTTCTTAGGTGGGGACGGTGTTTAGGCTGTAGGGGACGCTGGATTTCTGATCACCACTTTGTGCAACCCCTCTCGATTTGTTCTCCCTATCTCTTGTAGCTGAATTGATCACCTCACCTGCTGGGCTGTTCTGAAGATGATCGACTTGTCTGCTCCACAACTCAGAAGCTGTAACTCATCAGATTCTGACACTAAAAGGTAAATATTCAACAAAATTACAGTCATGTGATCCACTTGCAACAACTACACTGTACGAAACCAAACAAACCGCAAACATTGCTTCTGAAGTGTCAATAGAATTGAGTTTTCTGAGACGAAACTAATTCCACCGCAACCTTTCTGCTCAAATTTGAAACAAATAAAGAGCATTTTTCACCCACCATTAAACTTGATTGAAGTGATTGAAGCTGAGTGATCATCCAATGTTTGGACAAGAACAAAGTTGTTCACTATATCAAAGATATGAAAGAGTCGATCTCGGCCAGCGGATGCCAGCAGTTTGTGACCTGCCAGGAGAAAGGATCCCCATTATAAAAATTTCAACCACAATCACGTAATAAATTCCATACGCAAACCAAGATAAAATCCAATGGATTGACATTCGTACCTGACTCACTGGGTGAAAACTCCACGCATAACACTTCAGATTCATGTGCTTCAATCTTTGCGACTTCATCGAAAAACATCAAATCGTATACCCTGATATAATAAACACACGTGAGAAGTGAATTATTTAATAGACCCTTCCAGGGCTAGAATATAATCTGAAATGCAGCTTGCTCTTCACTATTGTGCTGTAATTTTAATTTGTTTTTCTCTGAGGTTTTCCGCAGTCGAGCAATGAGCAAGAAAAGCTACTTGCCTGGATGGATTTTTTTAACCTTTCCCTTCAAGTAGTAAAACAAGTATTTAATGTGTGTCTCGACTTCCTTTCGCGAATGCTTGAAGGTATTTGCTTGAGGGTATTTACTTGAGGGTATTTGCTCGAGGGTATTTGCTTAAGGGCATTCTACCTTACGCATTTTCAAGAAAATTTAATGACTTGCGAAAAAAAAAAAGCGTGTAGTCACAGACTAACTGAGAGCTCGGATATCAAACCCACGCACGGTTCAACTTCATGATGTAGTTGTACTGAGATCTGTAAAGTATCTTAACATGTTGCTAAGTTTTTCATTTTAACTTGGTGCGCAAGCACCCACTAGTTACGCATAGCCAAGGATGTCTGTTGAGCTATAGTTGTAATTGTGCGTAATTTTCAGTTTTTGGTCCAATTTGTAACTTTTGTCGAAGGATACATAAAGTGGCTTGATTTTTTTAAGTCCGAACCTGACATTTCCAGATCTGTCCCCTGTGGCAAGTGTTTGCCCATCAGGACTAATGCGAAGACATCTTACACCAGCATTTCGCGTATCACCCGTGGAATCTCGCATGTTCTTTATGGCTGTTACAAATTAAAACCACAGATTACCAATAGGAAAATTATAAAAGCAAGGAACTTTATCTTTAGAAGTTTGTGAGAAAACTGTTTCATCAAAAATATTTATTAACTAACCAGGGCTAATATCATTGTCTTTAAGATTTGCTACCGTGTCTTCCATATATAAAACTTTCATCATCTCCTGTAAATAATAACAGAAAAAAAACAAAGCAAAACAAAACAAACAGGAAACTTTCAACAATTCTTTAAATTCCCCTTAGAGATTAAACTTATCCAAGAGCAGTTCTTGAACAAAAGTTACCCATCTTCACTTGCTCGGAATGAATAGGCAAAGGGAAAAAAAAATGTCCCAGCCTTCATAAAAAAGCGTTCAAAAAAAGACTGCAAGAGATCTAGATATCCTTATCGCTTCTCCCCTGAGAAATTTGCAACTTCAAAGCTAAATAATGTTGGAGACACGATAACCTAGCCATTGGCGAAAGGTTCGTATTAGAGTCACAAGGATCACGAGGGTTCACTGTGCTGTGCTCATGAACAGGAGAGTTTTACTTTGATAGTGCTTCTCTTTCCAACCAGGATATAAACAGGTCAGAGAAAATTGGTCGGAAAATTGAAAAAAAAAAAAAAAAACACTAAATGATAACCTTCGATTGACTACTTTCCTTTCTACAGAGAAAAACGATCCTACAGAGGAAAACGATCGTACAGAGAAAAACAATCCTCCTAGTTGCTGCATTCTACTGGAGCAAGTGTTATGGCATCTATTCCAGTCAGTCTCGCATGCAGCTTCATCTTGCGACAAATAACATAAAGTTTGGACCAACTAAATCGCGCCCAACCAACCTTGCTGTAAACGTTTCTCTCAAACAATATGCTTGTTCCTGAAAGAGACCACAACACTTCCAGTTATCAAATTGAATCATCAAACAAAATTATAAAACCAAAATTATACGTATAGGGATCCCCATAGCAAAACAAACAGAAAACACAAAACAGGGCTCAATACTAATGGTAGCCAACTTGCCACAAACTGGTAGAAATTCAGTTTTGGCTTATGGTTTTCGATTTCCACTAGCCAGTTTGGCTAGTGAACAAACTGAAATTGTTGTAACATCTAAGTGGTCAATACCACTTGGATAGTGAGTTGAAAAGTTAGTGTCGAACCCTGCAAAACCTTATCACCTTCTTCGATGTTCCACACTCTAACAGTGTCATCAGACGAGCACGTGAGAAAGGATCCTGGAGGAAGGGCTGCCTGGCGATTGTCAGTCACATTGGGGTAAACCTGGAACATTGAATATATTACAAAAAGTAAAACTGAACAGGTAGTGAGGTGAACTGAATTTAGGCTGTTATCATCGTGGGACCCGTAAGGCACTGTGCGCACTTTTATCAAAAAAACACTAGAAAATACTGTAATAATGCGCCAGCAGGGAACAAAAAAGCTAGCACTCCACACCACCCAGTAAAGTCATGTGATAAAATACTTATTGACTGAGTCAGTTCAGGCCGTATCGGTCGTGACTTTTGGAACTCGAGCCCCACTCTTTTCCCATGAGGCCCGACCTGACTTATTCAATACCTACAGGTAAGGCCCAGTTCAAACGTCGAATTTCACATGTGCCGAACTTAACTCCTATTTTAGTCGACTAAAATAGTTAAATACGGCATTTGATTCAAACGTCGAATGTAACTCTGTTCCGTATGATGCACGATCCTCGCAGTAGAGAGCGCTATTTATGCAATAGCGAAAAACAGACCTGAAAAAAATCAGGCCTGTACGGGATTCGAACCACTGACCTCTGCGATGTTAGTGCAGCGCTCTACCAATTGAGCTAACAAGCCAACTGGGAGCAGGCCGTTAAGTTGATTCGGCTTTTTCGCGCATGGCATTCATAGAATTCCTGGCGAGTTGTGGGTAATAAATGAATTACAATAATTTCCTGTAATTCATGCATTAAGTTCGGCACATGTGAGATGCGACGTTTGAATCAAAAGTCTAACCTAAGTCGAATCTTCGACTGTTTCAGTCGCAGATACGGAAAAAGTCACATTTAATTTAAAACAGTCGAATTTAATTTATTCAAACGTCGCACTTCACATGCATTTAACCCCCTCATTAAGTTCGGCACATGTGAAATTCGACGTTTGAACCGGGCCTAAGTAACCAGTTCATGTCTCTGTTTTCAGACCCATTATTTACATATGAATTCACATTAAACTGAGTAGAAAAGATAAAGATACATGTTATCCCGTGCTCCGATTGGCTGCCTGGGGGTAAGATACATGTTATCCCGTGCTCCGATTGGCTGCCTGGGGGTAAGATAGGAGACTGTCCGATCTGTTCCGCCAAAAATTTTACCTCAACTCCCCATACGCATGTACTGTGATAAAGTGATGACCACGCCTTGCCAATCTTTTTCATATCCTTCACGTCCCATGTGTACAGACTGTGGTCGTTATAAACACACGTCAGCTGCAAGAAAATTATCAAGAAAATTTTCGGTAAGGTGACTCAAATAAGAAAATGCTTCCAAACTAACGTGAAAAAGATCAAGAAATGGACGCATTTTCTCTTTGCTATTCTCGAAATATAATTATCCTGTCCTTCTCCTTCAATAGATAGATATAGATATAGATATAGATAGATAGATAGATAGATAGATAGATAGATAGATAGATAGATAGATAAATAGATAGATAGACAGACAGATAGATAGTTTACTGATAACCGCTTTACGAACAAATATTGATCCATAATCAAATTTTAAGGCTTGCCAAGTTTTCTGTGACCCATACAAACCGTCACGGCTGTACTGTGCTGTCAAATCGTTTCAGGCAAAGCACTTGCCTGTCAATGATTTTTGTCACTATTGAAAAAATGTGATAAATCAAAGACATGGACTGCACCTTATGGTTCACTGTGTCAAAGGCTACAGCAACGGTGTCTGGATAAGCTGCTTGTTCGGGCTTTGATAAAGGGTTACTAGAAAAGCAATAACAAGCAAGTTAACTAACACAAAAAGAAATATTTTACAACCAGACTTAAACATAACAAGGTGATCCTTTAAATTTAACAATGGCACAAACACTGCTTTTTTCAGGCTCAAGTTCCTTCAAACAAAACCCTTAGATTAAGTAACAAATGTAACCTTATGTCAAATTACATTTTTTGGTCTAATACTTCACAAAATGGTGGAGGCGTGGTGGCCTCATGGTTAGTGCGCTCTACTCCTGATCGAGTGGTCTGGGTTCGAGCCCCAGCCGGGACATTGTGTTGTGTTCTTGGGCAAGACACTTTACTCTCACAGTGCCTCCCTCTCTTCACCCGGGTGTATAAATGGGTACCGGCAATTTAATGCTGGGGGTAACCCTGCGATGGACTAGCACCCCATCCAGGGGGGAGTAGAAATACTCCTAGTCGCTTCATGCTACAGAAACCGGAGTTAAGCACCGGCCTAATGGGCCACTAGGCTCGTAAAAACTTTACCTTACTTCACAAAATAGCACGTTACCAAACTACAGAAATCCTTTACCTGGAATCTATGCCTTCTGCTACATTAACACCCAGAAAATGAGGCTTTGGAATGGTGACTATAAACTGCAACTTCAGCGGGTTGAAAACTCTGACAAACAAATACCAAGACAAAATAATGTAAGGAACCATGATGAAAAATCAGATTGATAATTCAAAGACTCGAATTGTGACCAAGTTTGAATATCCTGTAACTACTGATGAACTCTCAATTACCTCATACCCTGGCAGTATAAACAGAAAGTTTGTAACTAACAATGGACCTAGTTAAACGGCCTAGCCTACCACGAGTCTCTTATAGCTCAGCTGTAAAGCACCGGACAAACTTATCAGAAGGTCATAGGTTTGATTCTTATTGGGAGCACTTAGAATTATTTTTCTCCGAGTATGCCTGTATATTTCACTGGATAACATCTTTCACTCAATTACCTTATTATTCCATCAGCACATCCACAAATAATGTAATGTTCACTGACTGCCAATGCATATGCTTTAGATGTCTGGAACAACAAGAAGTACGGTACATGTAACAAAACATGTTTAATATTATGATCTGGATGGTGAAGTCCCAAATAAAAATAATACAGAGAATGGTCACACCTCTTTGTGGAGTTTAAATTAGTGATTTTATTAACTAAAGGAGTTAACTCACAAACCCTCTATCTGAGGAGGCATTGGTAGGATCTTTGCATAGTTTTACACCCCCCCCCCCAAAAAAAAAAATGTCAAGTAATTCATTGTTGTTTGTGAAATTGGTAATCGTGGTTGAAGGGATACAAAACAGCAACGACAACAAAAACATAACTTTTCCAAGTACACAAGAGATAACTTATGAGATGACTAGGCAGCAAAAATTATTTTTTGCTGCAAAATTACATCCTTCCTTATCATTTAATACTACACAAGACCTGCTCCTCTGTAGGGACAGAGTTTTCCGATGTGAAATGACAACATTGTCAAAGGAACCCCAGAAACTGAAGGATACTGTACATGTCAACAAATTGGTGAGCAGTCTGATCTGTTATCAAAATCCCAAGATTAATTAAACAGTAGTGACAGTTGAAAATTGGATAGAATTTATTATCAAGTACCTTGAGTTCAACCCAGGTGTCCAACACTCTCTTGCTGTTGATGGAACACAATAACCCTGAGCTAGTCACACAGTAAGTGATATCAGAGTTCACTCCACGACCACATGCTACGTCACAAAAGGTGTTATTCCTCTGCTCTCCTAAAAGGCCAGCTCGGCCATTGATTACTAGCGTTTTGGAAACCTGCCAGATGGGAATCAATACAGAACAATTAAATGTAAAAAAAAAAAGCTATCACTCAATCATCACATTGATTACAACCAACAAAAATGATAAAATTAGATCAATTAAACAAAAAACTTAAACTTTAAATTTCCTTACCTTAGATTTATTTGATTCAGTGTCAAAATACCAAAATTTAACATGACGGACACCAACAGTAACAAAGTAGCTACCATTTTCAGAGAATGACAATGCTGAAACCTGGAAAAAAAAAAAAAGAAAAAACAACATGAAGAAAATTGAAGTCTGACTAATTAAGATCAATTTCAATATTGATCATCGTGGCACAACAAAGGTGACAGATGATTATAGACCACTAATACTTCATCCAATTAATATTGGAAAATCAAAACTTGCCCAAAAATTGATAGCAGAACAGGTAGATATCTAAAGTATATCGCACACTGACATCACATAATTCTTAACTAAACAAGTCCTTATCAACTCCCCTTTACCTGTGACTAGCATGAACACCGAGGTATGAAAGGAAACCCACCTTCGATGAAACTTTGTTGCAGGCCACCTTAGTACCACTCTGCCAAGAAAAGAGGGTGATTTTAAAATGGATCATGGACATAAAAAAGTGGACCCCAAGGAACAATATGAACATCAATTATCTCAAGAAATATGACTGATGATTACTGACTTTAAACAGATTTAAAGTAGAATCACAAGTACCTTCCAGTTCCATATATTTACAATCATGTCGTGCTGGAATCCAACAGATGCCACATATTTCAAATTGGGTGAAAAGGCCTGACAAAAATTTTGATAAAATCACATTAACTATGATTCAGTCATGCATAAACAAACTAGTAAAGTTACCAAATAGTTAAAATAATGTTTTTTAATAGACTGCAGGTGCCATGCTAAAGAACACGAATACATTACTTGGCCTGCCCAGTTAAAACTGGAGTACCAACAAAATCACCAAATGGTGATAATTTTAAGCATTAATAATAATAAAGTAAATTTGTCAGCCGGAATCATTACAATGAGTCTGATTTAAACTGGAGATACATATTTTGCAGTAAAGATGTTCATAAGAATCATATTCTCATTAATTTGGATATATCAACAAAGTTGAAATGGTAAATTGGCCACCGTAATGATTACAAAAGCTGACGTTTCGAGCGTTAGCCCTTCGTCGGAGCAAATAGAGGAATTGTGGGTTGTGTGTGCTTTTAAAGGCAGAAAATGGAGCTACGTTATTGGTGGGA